ATTCGAGAGATGGCATATAAAATGGATCACATTTTCAAAATTTGATAAATGAATTGTAAATACCGTAGATACATTGGCAGTTTCGAGTTTGTTTCTTTTTTTAATATACATTGAACACCCATAAACAACATAAATCAACGATATCTTCAATCATGTTCTTAACCCACCTACAAAATTTTTACTCCGCCAAATGAAACCCCTGTTCACGTGATTCTATTCCTGGAATTCATTCGGATTCACGTGATTTATATGTTCTAAACATAACATGATCAGTGAACGAGAGCCGGTTGATGTTGGAGGTAAGGTAAGAGGAGGAGCCAGCTATTTTTGGAGGTATACTCGCTTGCAGCAATACGCTCTGAAGGCATCGCCTATTGCGATGTTCAACGTTTGTTTATTACTTGTATAAAATAAATAAATAAGTAGACAAATATTATGGCCACGTGTATTTCGTTAAAAGTCGCTTAAAGATTTCTTAAATAGATGGTTATGTTAAGTACCCACCCGTTTTTATATTCAAGAAAGAAATATATTTACCAGTCCCTATGTTTATTTATTTGCCCCAATGTTTGTTTATATATTTATAGTGGTGGAGACATAAATAGAAATAGAAAAAAAACAGAACATTCCAAGATTTTCGTCATAATTGGGCCATAGGCCATATTCGCAATATGACAACTTTTAATGACAATCTCTCATTAAAAATTTTGAATGAGAGGTTTAAAAATTTTACGAAATACGTAGTAACCACAAAAAAATCACAAGGAAGAAAACATATATTTATATACGTAGTGTAGTATATATAGATAATTCAAATGTGGTAGCACCCCCTGGACAGTATCAACCAATTGCTTCCGACGCCCCTATCCCCTAGGACACTTGACGCGCCCACTGGGGCGCGACGGGGACCACTTTGGGAAACTACGACATTGTCGATAGCAATTTATCCTTAAATAGGAGTTATAAGATTTCACATATGAATAGTTTCACGTAGTTCACACCATTTTTATGGCTTTCATATGATACATAGGGCACACTATAAGTTTCCGAAACTGGCCTAAGTGGCCAGTTTCGGCAACTTATATTATAAACAATATTTAAAAAGTAATTACAACATTTGAAAATGGAACTCTTTGGCTGTAGAATACAGTTTGTTTCATCTGACTGTGACTTGTTTTGACATTGTGGCGTCATTTTTGAAACTGGTTGTCTACATCACCATGGATTTAACTCGTGAAATTTTCGTAGTATGATTTTCTGCTACTTTAAGTGTAAGTTAACAGCTCAGCGAAGCTTCGCTCGACTTCAAACTGCTTTTGGCGATGATGCACCATGCAAGACGACTATTTATAGCTGGTTTTCAGAATTCAAATGCGGTCGTATGCATCTCAGTGACGAATTTCGTGAGGATCGCCCGTCCACTGCTGTGAACAACAAAAACATCGATGCTGTGCGCCGTATGATCAAAACAGACAAGCATGCGACATACCATGAGATTCAGGCAACTTTAGGCATAGACATGAGTCAAATACAATCAATACTACACAAACATTTGGGTGTGAAAAAGCTGTGCTCTCGGTGGATCACACACAATTTCATTGAGGCTCAAAAAACGGATCGCGTCACTTGGTGCAATGCCATGCTTACCAGATTCAACGAAGGGGCGTCAAATTTGGTGTGGGACATAGTAACAGATGACGAAACATGGCTTTATAGTTACGATCTCAAAACAAAGCAGCAATCGAGCATATGAGCCTTTCGAGATGTGCCAAAACCAACCAAAGTGGCGCGCGTGCAAAGTGCCTTTAAGCGGATGATTGCTTCTTTTTTTTAATAAAACTGGATACGTGGCTACTGTTGCTTTGGATAACCGTTGTACCGCGAATAGTGATTGGTACACGACCATTTGTTTGCCGGAAGTTATTGACAAACTCCGTAAAAACAACCGTAAACGCCGTATCATCTTGCACCACGATAATGCCAGTTCTCACACGACCAGACAGACAAATGAATTTTTGAAAGTGAATAACGTTGACCTTATGAGCCATCTCGCGTACAGTCCCGAGCTGGCACCTTGTGACTTTTATTTGTTTCCAAAAATTAAGAACCAGTTACGCGGTCAACGATTTTCATCACCCGAAGAGGCTGTCGATTAGTATGAAAAATGTGGTTCAGAGATTGTCACGGAGGAGTGGCATAAATGTTTTCAAAATTTGTTCATTCGCATGAAAAAGTGCATTAACGCTAACGGAGAATATTTTGAGAAACAATAAATTCATTTCTGACCATTTATAATATTTTTTCTAATTCATTCCGGAAATTTATAGTGCTCCCCATGTACAAGGATAAAAGCACTTCTGACGTGTGATCACATGTAACTTTATTATACCAGGAAAGAAGATATTTGGAAACGATAGTGGGTTTCGGTGATTTTATTTAGTGCCCTCAAGAAGTGTTTGTAAAGTACAATCACAAAAAATATTCCTTTATATAAAATAAAGCCCGGTCTTTCGTCCCCTTCGCTATAAAAAGTTATATGATCTCACGTTGAGCTGAGTTTTACATCATTTGGAGCACAGAGAAGTGCTCACAGTTGTTTTGAGATAAGGGTGTAGCGTGGGATTGCCTCCAGATTTTACATTTCCAAACTTCCAACATTTGCGTCTTTAGTTGCAATGTTCAACATTCGTATAACACAATATGTTCGATGTTTACGTTGAAATGAGCCTTGACCCGGTTTGGATAATTGAGAGAAAGAAGAATGAAATAATTTAGTTTGAATGAGAGGTTGGAATATTTTTTTACAGTTGAGGAGGTGAACAAGGGCGAACAAATTAGTGGCATGAGGTTCAACGACCATCTTACCACTGTGGGTGTGACCGTCGACGCACAGTTAACTCCAACACATTTATAAACTTCGCGGTATAAACATACATACAGTTTACGTCCTTTTCCGAGGTAGGCAGAGACCACAACCTTTCACACATACACACACTACGAACCTGGAACATATCTTTCACTTCATGAACTCGCTTTAATGCTATGCTTTCATGCACGCTCATCGTTTAACGGTACGCTAGATCCATAGATCTGACCTTTTTATGTATTAAAGTTGTTGTCCACCGCATAATATAGTTATCTACACAGGTGTAGGATAGTTACGAGTATTTCGATTAGGTATAACTTAATTTTGGTGTTTCGATAAAACTTTTTCAATCAATAAGTCAATATGAGAATCGGTCTAAATTTATTACGACTCACTATAAATGTTGTGTTTTTAGGTACATTGTATAAAACGTTGTAAACATTACATTTATAACATTATTGTTAAGGATAAATTTTCAAATAAAAAACTATTGAAAATCAAACCATGACGTCAACCACTGTAAAATAGAAACGCCCAGAACAAGAACTAATTCATCCGATCAAATAATTCAATAAACAACTTTCAAAGATTAGTATAGTTTTTTTTATATAAATCACTCAGCAACCGCACTGAAAGGAATGACAAAATAAATTGAAATTTTGTTTAGCTTTCGCATTCTGTTAGCACACGCTGTCAAAACTGAATAACGCTAAAGTGCTTTTTTATTTTCCATTACGAGCGGTTCTGGGGGATTTAATGTCGGCATACATGCCGAGGGTAATCTCTGGAGAGTGATATATAAGGCGTCTCAAGTGGCAAATGTCTATAAAAGGCTCATGGAAAAGATTAGGGGCTATCCAGTCATTCACGAGCCTTCTTAGTCCTAAAACGAGTTCGTCAGTTATCATTCAAATACGTTTTCTCATCGTATTTGTGAGCCCCGTTCCAAAATAAAATAATTTTTGATTTTTAACTTTACAGGCGTAATAAAACATTAATGTTTCTTTACATTAATGTTGTTTAACATTTACACTTTTCATTGATCAGATCATACAAGATACATATTTTTACAGCAAATTATAACGTGTTTACTGAACGCGCGTTATAATGAAAACGCCGTAAATTATGTGTACCTACCTCCACCGCTCACCGCCATAGGTACGGCATTAAAATTTAGCAGGATTAGAACCCACTTAAAATTAATATGATTGATCGTAAATTTCGAAGTTTAGCGGTTTTAGAAAGCTGTATATAAACTTGACTCGACTATTCCGAATGTGCTGTGCTGCATTACAAGGCGCACTATAAACGGGTGTACCTATATGTGTTCTATAGAAGCGATTTTTTTAACTTGACTCAGTTAAAAAAATCGCTGTTGTGAGTCAAAATATGTACCATTTTTTACTTTTTAAGTCAAATAGTTATATACTTTTTTATAATCGAATATATTCGATGTTTTTTATGAACATTATAGGTTCCATATTTAAAAGCGAAGATGTCACTTAGTGTTATGTTTGATTTCAAACATGGAACCTATAATATACCTAACAAAGGTATATTTCAGTCAAAAAGCAAAAAAAAAATGCTATTTTAACTTACAACAACTTACGAGCGATGTTTATATGATAATTTTACATCAATTATAAGAAATCTTGTACAGGCATCACACGAGATAAATATGTATTTTACTGGTTTACAATACCGGCTCTTATCTCTTTTTACTGTTTTTCTTTTTTATATTATGATAAGAAAAACTCTAGATGGTCAGCAAGTTTTTAAGTTGATTGAAACACTTATATTTAGAGATATTTATGAAGAAAGAATATTCTAATAAGCGGCAGTATTAACAGAAGTGCAGAGAAGAGTAAATATAATTGATAATTTTATACATGCTCGTTGGGTATTATTACTTTAAATTGTTTTTCTTTTTTAATTCGATCGTATTGGAATGTGTCTTTCTGTTCAGTCGATAATGTGCAGTTTACGGGTAATGGTAACTAAAAGCTCGGATTAAGAATGAAGAGGAAAGGTAAAAGTAAGTAAATTCATATTTACATAATACTGTAAAGTCGCAGTTTACAGCTAAAGAGCGGAAAAAAGGAAAAGGGATAGCGTTCGTCGCCGTGTGACCTACCGGTGTGGGGCATAAAGCATGTGGGCATTGGTGTGGTGCTGGTTTGCTGGTCTACTGTGTGAGACACCTTGCGCTGCGCATATTGCGCGTCCTTGGGCTCCCAGAAGAACACGTAGTAGAGAGAGAGCATGATGGCGGCGAGGGACACGCAGAATACATAGATGATGACGGTGAGCACTCGCACGGTCTTCTTGTCGCGCTTGCGCTCGTAGAGCGCATCTAGCACCACCTCGTGGCCGCTGGACGTGCCTAGCCGTACGGAGCCCGCGCACGAGCGCACGCTGCCTGAGGTGCACGACTTGCCCGACATCGCCGCCGAATGCACCCACCCGCCGCCGCACCACGCCGAAACCGGGTAAGTGGGGCACGTTTATCGATATGCCCCAGTTGGGGCGATGCGCCGAGCGCGAGTGCGACACCCGCAGGTCACGTCACGCCGTCCGTGTCTGCCGCTTGACACCTCCTGAGGCGAACTGCTGCTTCATTGTGTTCCCGCCTGTTCTCGACTTCATTTGTTTATCCTTTAATTTCACGCTCGGCGTGTGTGAATCTATTCCAGCACCTCTGACGTGGACGGACGATTGCGATTCGTCTGTCGCGATGCCGCCCCTGAATTTTCATTGTTTCTGTTAGCGAGCGATTACGCTCCCATCAAAGCGGCTTCATTACGTGTAAACAACGATGAAACGCTCCAGCGGCGTCAGCCGCTCGCTTTCACGGAGTATACGACCAACAGTACTAAGCCGACAGACACGGCACACGACACAAGGAATGTGACTCAACCGGGCCGTCGCTTCGCAACCGACATTATTAGTGTCAAGTGAAGTCACGCATAACAATATGCAAACAAAGTTAATTCAGAGGAGGGTGACGCGTTATTATGACAGTGGATGTCGGGCGGTTGACGGGAGAAGCGACAGGGCGGGCGGGAGCATACGTCCGACGACGCGCTCTCCCTGCGGCACGGCCGCGGCAGCGCGCGCCGCTTGTACTCAGTCCCACCCGCAGATCAATAACCTTCCTTGCAATTTTCAAGTCCACTTTGCGAACTTTGTCCTACTAGCCTAGGCGTATTCTTTGATTCTAACTTTGTTAAGCCGGTGACACGGAGCTGGGGTCGCTCTACCTATATAATTTACTACAATAGTAAATCGCTTAACTATCAAGTTTAGGTTTGTTCAAAAAATGTTTTATTCTACGAAAACTTGTCCAATTAATATAAGAATGCTTGACAACTTAGGACGGCAATAACAATTATGTGTATTTACAATTTGATATAAATGGTTACAATGATCTAATGGAAAAATGGGTAATAAAGGAAAAGTAACATTAAGAGATAGAGAGATTCGATTATTTGCCTTTTTATTGAATTGATTTCCTTGAAAGTAGCGTCAGAGTATACACTTGAATCGATCTTTATAAAAATAGAATCGTAATGTTGAATTACTATTTGTATTGAATTCTCAGGATTGCAAAGTGGGTATTGTGTGGTGTTATGGTGGATTTGCCTCTTTTTAGTCTATGAAAGATTTTTTACATTCAAATTTGTAATCAAAATATTCTTTACGCCGTTAAAATAAATTTATATTTCCACCTTCCCCTTGAAACTAAACTATACAAGTATAATTTTTATATAAAACTATAAATTACCAAATATCTTCATAAATGAAAGGCATGATTTACAATTTATAAAAAAGTTACTAATTAAGAAATGTTACTATAATGGGTATCAACGAGTACTATATATTTTAAATTCTTGTTATTTTTTGTAATCGACTGTACCTTTCAAATAATAAAATAAGTAATAGTGAATTTTACAGTAACCAGAACCGGGGTTTGTTTTTCTCATTCTCAACATCTGGTGTCAGAAGTGGATAAACCGAATTAGAAATGCCCATGTTGACCATGTTGACGCTCCCTGGTTTATAAAAGTAACCCGGAAATAAGTGAGAGTGAATTTTGCAGTAACCAGAACCGGGTTTTATTTTTCTCATCCTCAACAATAACCACGATTTTGATTTTGGGTTAGAAACTAGTTAAAATCCAGACTGGTTGATTGGGTTTAACCTGCTGCCCATCTCTGCAACATTGTATTGTTTGTTTTGTAATCTTATTTCATAGGAAAAAGAACTTTAACTTTAACTGCTTCCGTGGTTGAACGGTTACCATGCCGAACTGCCACGTAGAGGTTCGATTCCCGAGCCGGAAGAAATATTTGTATGACCTACATCTATTTCTCTCGTGAGTTTGGGTACACCCACACATTACAATGTGTGGTTGTCTATGTGTGTGTGTCCATGACACCCGCGACACAGGGTTTTCCCTAGTGCGGGGCTATGTTGAGTGTGTGCGTTACAGGAAAAAGAGGAAGGATGGAGTGCTAACATACATTGTGTTATAGTGACCCAGTAAGAGTAAATACATTATAATTATGTAGTGGTATTTCCATGTTAATTCAATATTAACAGGCGACCTAAATTATACACCTGTTTCCATTTCCTATTGGCACTACCTCTGTAATTTATGTATAGCATCATTGACTTAAGATAGATTTCGTCTACTTGATATTATCTCAATAAAGTATGGGTGAAAATACTATTACTATATTAGTTAGTGGATTACCAATAGACGGGTCTGAAACAGAATAAAATGAGTTATTTACAAGGTACCCTTAAAACTTAACTCTACTGCTTAGTTTAACCCACAAAGTGCGTAACTAAAAAGAAAAATGTCTTGGGTTGAAACATTATAACTTTATGTACGGACAACGGCAGATCAGGCTACATGTTTTTGTTCGAAAATCGCCTCCATTGCAATGGAACAAGATACGTCAATGTGTAGCTTGATGTGCTGGCGTGTTACACACTTTTTGTTTTAGCGTAAGTACATAGCCCAATTCATTTTTGATAAGGGTTGTTTGAAACCTGGTGCTTTCCATGTCATCGCAAAAATATTTGGGCAAAAATACATTTGTTAAAATAAATTTAACATTTTGTGAAATATAAAATAAATTTTACAAAGTAAGTAGATGCATTCGTGATATTAAAATGGGAACTATATAGTATAGTGTAGTGAGCTTGCTTCCGCAACTCGACGTCTAGTAGTAGTATAAGGGTGAATATCAACAAATGCATTTTATTGTAAATTTTGGTGGCGCAATTTTTTTTTTTAGATTTTCTAGTATCCGAGACTCGTTTGCTCTAGTTTCTAAAATGAAACATTTCATTTATATATACGTGACCGGGACGTAACCATTTCCATTAATTTCAGAGATATAAGCAATTAAAAATTTTTCTCGCCACCAATACTTAGAAATGCCATCAAAACGCTTATCGGTTGCACCAGAATTGAATATTAACCAAACTTGGAATATATATAAAAACAAAGACAATTAAGTAAATTAATTGTTTCTTTAAATTTAATTGTGGTAAAAATTTGTTTGCCCCTTTAAAACGACGCACACTTGGAATTTTCTTCTGCTTTTTCTTTTTAATATCATGTGACGGGACGAACGAGTCATGCGCCTGATGGTAAGCTACACGCCTGTCCATAACAGTGGCAGTGCCATTCAGAGCTTTAAATATGCAAAGATCTGAGGAGCACTGCCACTGCGCCCGTCACCCTTAGACGTAAGTTAGCAAGTCCCATGTGCCTGTAACTTCACCAGCACCCTTACCCTTCCAAACCTAACTAAGCTAACATTACTACTTGGCGGCAGAAATAGGTACGATGGCAGTATTTCCTGGATTTTAGGGATTGAGTTCATTGTTGCTTTAATTGGCAGTTGAAGAACTATGATACACAACGCCATCTCTACGAATGTTTCCTAAAGATAAGTTGTAGAAACCCAAATGTTTACCATGAGGACATACGGTAGGTTTGTCCGGACATTAAGGCTTGATAAGGCATCATCATCATTCACAGCCTGATTTCACCCACTGCTGTCCCGTGCTAGCCGCATCCATTGACTCCCCGCGACGCGTACTATGTCGTCGACCCACCTTGCAACAGGGCCATCCTCGGCCACCAATCAGTCGATGTCTAGCTCCACCTGTCATCACCTTGCCTAGCTAGGTGTCCCGCCCATCCCCATTTGAGTTCCATGATTCGAGTTCCAGCATTCTGGACTTTCGTCCATCGTCGGATCTCAACGTTCGGAACTCGGCCTACAAGGTTGATGCCGAGCATGGCGCGCTCCATGTCCCTCTGTGCGACTCTCAACCTGTATACAGTGTCCTGAGTGAGCGTCCACGTCTCGTCACCATACGTCATGATGGGCAGAACACATTGATTAAACAAGCTGGTTTTCAGATACTGTGGAACCTTACCTGATTTAAGGATGTCACCTAACTTGCTAAACGCAGCCCATCCCAGCTGGATTATTTTTGAGATCTCTTTAGGCTGATGCTCTTTGCCAAAGGACAGAACATGTCCCAGACAGACGTACTGAGCGACTCTCTCCAGCGTCTCATTTCCCACAGTGACAGTGGTATTTGACGGACTGGAGAGATTCGCCATAATCTTCATCTAGGACATATTCATCCTTAGACCAACTCTCAAAGAAACATCATATAGTTGTTCCAGCATCCTTTGGAGATCGTCGAAACTTGCAAATAGCACGAGATCGTCCGCGAATCTTAGGTGAGACAAATGGTGTTACACCATTGATATTAATGCCGCGGTTATATAAGGGTTAATTAAGGGTTTTTACGACATCCTCAAGTCCTCGCCGGATTGGAACGGTATTGGTTAAATCGTGAACTCGTAGCTGCAGAGTGGCTGAACGGTAGAGCTCTCGGAGCACATCCACGTAGCGGGAATCGATGTGGCAGCGATGAAGAGCGTGGAACACGGCCTAATGTTTGATACTGTCAAAGGCCTTCTCATAATCGACGAAGGCCATGACAAGGGGCCGGTTAAATTCGAGACATTTCCCCATCAGCTGATTAACCGTGTGGATATGGTCGATGGTTGAGAAGCCGCTCCGAAAGCCAATAGGCTGCTCAATAGGCTGCGCTTCGTCAAGTTCACTGGTAAGCCAAATGGTCAAAATCTTTGTAAAATGTTTATAAATCTGAGAGAGCAAGCTAAACGGCCGATAATTGCTAAGTTTTGCAATGTCGCCTTTTTTGTGGATGATGGTGACGATGGCATTCTTACATTGCTCTGGTGTTCGAGCTTCATGAAGGACTTTGTTGAAAAGTTTTACCACAAGCACTTTTACCACAGGATTTCCTCCTGCTTCAAGTAGTTGGACTGAAACACCATCATTTCATCATCAGCAGATGATGGTGTTGATAAGGCACTGAGTACTAATTTAGAGTTATTACTTTTTCTTCAAATAACCTGAAGAAAAGTAATGTTACTAAAAAAAGGCTTCATTTACTAAAGAATGAGCCAGTCTTTTTGAACAATTTCGTAATGTACACGTTTAATTCGAATATTATTACCGGTAGCTTTTAACGCCAGATGATCAAATCAATATCAGTAATGTCATTCCCAAACGACACTGATTGATCTGTAGTTGTCTTTAAAAATCCTCCAACTCCATTCGCGGCACCCGCGATTATTGCGAGTGTGCAATGCCGTGGCAAGGGTGCCCAGGAGTTGGAGGATTATTAAATAGAACTGCAGATCAAAGTGTCATTTGAGAACAACATTGCTGATATTGATTCGTTTATCTGGCATTGAAACCTGCCATTGATAATATTAAAATTAAACCTGTAGAAAATTACGAAATTGTAGAAAAAGCCTGGCCTTTTCCTGGTAACATGAATTTTCTTCAGGTTGTAAGTAAATTTTATTGAATGTCAAGATGTTTCACCACTATGATATTCAATTATTTTTTGTGAAATTACTCCAGTAGTTAGTTATAATGGTACCAAGTGTTATTTCTTCAGGTTATTTGGAAAAAAGT